TGAACCGGACACCGGCCTCCAATGGATCGCGGTTTTCACACCGCCTCGTTGCCTTGCGGGTCACGCTTTGGCCAACCGAAGGTCCCAGTTATGAATTTCCCAAAAGTCACATGCCTTCTCCTGGGCAAGCTAGCACTATCATAACCTCGAACAAATCATAGACATTTTTGTTTTGATAAAGATTATTGTACCATGATTTGTTCGCCACAGTCTGAACTCAAGTGTTAATAGAATTTTAAAAATGTCTTAATAGTTCAGTACAGATCAACAGCTGCATAACGAAGCGTCGGGGCCTATTTGTCGTATCCGGTTATGCACTGACTGATTGCAGTTCGTCAGAAATGAACGACGGGTTCTCAGAGGACCTTTCTCAACTGTTGCAAAGTACACAATCAATGGACATCGTTTCAGTTCCTGGAGACTTCAATGCTCAGAAAGGCTTTTAGGCGGTCCGCATGCAACTCCAATCAACGGAGCACGCCTATCCTAACTATGTGCTGATCACGGACTGGTCCTGTGAAGCATCAACTTCTCGCACAAGAAGCAACACCGCCTTACATGGAAACCACCGACCTCCTTACAACGATAAACTTGAATCGCCATCAGCTACCACTGACGAAGATTCATTGAAAACTGCCACTCCCACTGATCAACGCCCGTGGGCACGGACTATGCCAACTGCCAGATTCTCCTTACGTCTGGTAAACAACCACAGAAGTCACCGAAAACGGATGACCAGAATAATGTATTAGCAATAATTGCAAGTCGACTTAGGAAGTGGAACTTTCTGTTCGCCTTTCAGCTCAACCATCAGCAGGACTTAATGAACACTGGACGGCAATCAAGGAAGCTAAACGAATGTTAGTCTAATCAACGGGATTCTGGCGCACCATCAAAGCAAGAACGATGGATTGCTTCAACCTCGGCTACCCCGTTGGACGCTCGCAAAGCCATTCCTTCGGATTCAAAACACAACAAAGCGCGCAAATCCATTAAACGTCAGTTCATTAAGAGTTCGTGAAAACGACCGCGAGAAGTGGTGAATGGGGAAGTTTAAAGACATGGAGAAGGCACCGGCTATCAGTGATAGTCGCAATCTCTTTCGTTTATTTAGGAGTACTGGTTCAAGGAAATTAGGCTTAAGTGAGGTGATTAAGGAGTATGACGGGACACTGATTCATACTCTATATCGTCTTGAACGAACGGTAGGGTATTTTAGGGCACAGTTCAGCTGTCTCACATTCACACAAAACCTCGCGATATCTGTTTCAAACGGGAGAATACTGCCAGTTGGTATAAGTCCTCCTTCTGAAATGGAAGTTTCCTAAGAAATCCGTCATCTCTAAAGGTATAAGGCCTCTGGCCCGCACGGGCTGTCCCAATCGGTGGTCAAGGACGGAGGTTCAGCGTTGGTCTTGGAATTAGCGCAAGTCCTGAGGAAACAAGTTACAACTGAATGGTGTGAGTCGGCCATCATATCGATCTACGAGGAAAGTGACTGATTTTCTTGCGAAGATCACAGAGGAATCAGCTCAATCAACATTGTCTCTAGACTTCCAAATGGTGTTCTACTCAGTCGATTGTCCGTCGCACCTGAACGGTGCACGCGTGAGAACCAGGCTGGTTTTAGACCTGGTCGAGGTTGTATCTACCACAAGTTGAGCCTGCGACAGATTCTAAAATGTACTCCTTCCGTAAGCCCACCGTTTTTATTTTAGTCGATCTAAAAGCGGCCTTCGACTGTCGACCACTCTAAATATTGGTGCTGGCTCGCTCTGAAGAGTCTACATGTATTACACATATACTTAACACCGGCTTGCGAACAAGCATGATGCCAACACCACAACAATAATACGGAGCAGATGGATTGGAAGGGTCTCTCCGAGTTTATTTCAATTTCATGACCTTTTTATAGTAACAGACGAATTTCAGTCCCAGCTTAAGGTACTATTTCAACCGAGTTCACTACAGAAAATGATGTTCGTCAAGGTTGCCTTCTCTATCCGTTTCTATCTAACTTTGTCATAGATTTAATTCCTGAAACAGCCCTATCCTTGTGCGAGGAGGGCGGCACTGATTTACTCCTAGGTGGTATACTCTGAATTGGAATATGCTGGATGAAGGTTAAGTTGCGAGCTTTTCCGAATAGTTTGAGTACCAGCCTAGCCAAGCTCGGGTTGCGTTATGCACCTCAAAGTGTAAAATGTTGCTACGAGACAAGGTTGATCCGGCACCCACTATCAGTCTAACGCGGAAAGGACCGGTGAAGATGGACAAGTTTTATCTGGGCAACTACATCTCACCCGATGAACGCATCATGAATGAATTGCCAGCACACATACAGAAGGCTCAATCGGCATATGCCAACTTGGCAAATCTGTGGTGCAACCGCGACATTCGGCTGTCCGTGAAAGATCGAGTGTATACTGCAGCAGTTCGGCCTGTTCTGTTATACTACAGCGCTGAAACTTGATCATTAAGAAAACAGGTGTTCAAACAGCGCTGCTTTGCCGCATCGCACGAATCTGGTAAGAAAACCGGACGAGAAAGGCTGAGGTTGGGAGCAGAGTACTGAGTAACCGCCGTCGTCAACTGGAACAAATAATCGGTCGACGCATGTCACCAAATAGGGTGACTCAGAGACCGAAGTTTGCCTAGATAGGCAGTGGATGAAAAAAGTCAGGATCGGTCAAATTCAAACGGGGCATGAGGGTATAAAAGCTCTTAACAGGAGTCAACGAAGCCCGTTAGGTTGCCTGGATGGGGACCCCGAGATCATGGCAAGGAGTAGTTAGCACTGAGTGATGGCTTGGTGTCGAATACAGTGGGGCTCGTACATCTACTCATCATTCCTGCAACCCGTGTATATTACTCCCGTATTTTCTCCTTGACTCTGTTCTCAACATTCCAACCTTCATTCTGCAATTTTATTTAAACGGGCAGCCAAAAGACAGCAACCAATGTCGGCGCATGAAAATGCAGAGTAAAGGTTGTGAAACTGAAACGAAGCAGTCAGTTTCTATGAGAAACACGCTTATATCGCTTAGTTGGATAGGGTATCACCTATAAAATCACCAAACGCGAAGGGGCGTAATACAGAATATTCTACATTGTGATCATTCTTTCCACACACGCAGATTTATATCGTGCATCGACATCGCAACAATTCGTGACGACTACTCACAATACGGAGACTGTTCACGAAGTTGATCCTGACCAACTGGAACACTGTAGCAGAGACTCATGTTATTCTAGATTTAAAACACCGTCATCCCAACAGAAACGTCTCAAAACAGATAGGCGACAATATACTTATTTGGATTGTATAAAGCCAGAGAGAAAAGGAGAAGCAATTATGAATACAACAGAATGAGGACGAAATTTTCATGTATATGCTGCAGTGCTTATGTATAAGTCTGTATAAAACATGACATTACTAGGACCTAGACAATTTTATATATATTCGCGTGTACATTTTGATTTGAACCTGGGAGGATGAAGCTCGACTTTAAGAGAGCGAGATAAGTAAGAGGCGGGCATGTGATGAAAGGATTGATTGTTTGGGGAGGGAGATGTAGACAGACAGGATCGATTGGGCGCCGAGACCATGGATCAAGCATCAGAGAAAGAGAGACGTATAATTAGTTCCGTTAGGTCAAGTCTAGACAAATGAGTTGAGTGTAAAATCAGAGTAAACCCCATGACTTTCGTGAAGAAAATGAAGAGTTCATGGAAAGGGCGAGATGATAAATTCTAAAATAGAGAAAACAAGAGAACCGTTAAAATACAGAGGGAGAGCGAGATGTTACTGATCAATGATATACACTCAACTATGAATTAGGAGGGTGGGTGAGTGGAAAGTATGTATAATTATGGGAATAATTGGCCCTGTAGAGTGATAAAGAAAGCACACGAGACAACGGGACATTGGACGATAGTGAAATAGTATGCTACAGTGAAAGAAAAAGAGACCTCGGACGGATACGTGCTCATGAACATGGGAATCATTTGTTGGCATTGTAAAGCACAAAGTGTAGTTACATGACAAAAGTTTTGGTACATCGTGGACCTGTTCTCAAGAAAGAAGAAATCGTTCACTTAGGAGTCTATATATAGATATATATGTATATATATATATGCATATATATGCAACAGCAATGTGCAATGAAGCTTGTGAATGATTGAAGAGACAGGCTTCGATAAACGGGTACTAGGATGTACATTTGTTTACATAATTTATTTGCATGTTTACTCATGTATAAATATATGTATAAATAGAGTGTGGGCACCAATTAAGCAAGCACATAAACTGATCACACAAGTGAATTATAACCCCACCGCGGAGCATACTCTCGCAATTCGGTAGGTCTGATGGGGTCTACATATTGTGTTGCATAGAAAAGATCTACACGATTGGGACCGGGAGGTCTCGTTTATGCTCATTCACTGAACTCATAGGTCAAACAGAGACAGATAAAAACCTTGAATGGGTCACAACGAAAAGCGAAACGCAAAACAACACGAACTTCTCTTCGTGTCTAATCATATAAATTGAAGGAGGATGCGTACGATGTTTGTTTTGGTCGAAGGTGACTTGGCGGATGGTCGCGGATTTTGAAGACAAAAGAAACTATGGACAGAATATCACCAACTGACACGGAAAAGATAAATACAGAGGCAACACGCAGTGCGCCGAGAAAGTGTTTTGTATACATATATATATAGATGGTCGTGGCGGCAGGAAACGGAGACAAGACAAACAGTTGAGAAATGCTGTCTATCAAAGCATACGGAACCAAAGAGCCGAGTAAAAAGCGAAATGCCACAAACAAAAATTGCACGCAACACCAGCAAGTGGAAGGCACACAGAACATCAAACATCAGATGAAAAGGGAATGAATATCATTTCAGAAATGTGTAATGAATGACTAAATGGACTGCAGTCTCTTAGTATATGGGCGTCGGAATGACATGATCGAAGATCAGTCAATTTTAGCTGATTAGACACGAAGCGCTGCATCCGAGGAAACTAATCCAGCACCAGATTTGATGGAAGAACTACCACTAGTCGGCCGTGTTTCGTTTACATCATTCTGATCACCCACAGGCGATGAACTTCCGTCCCCCGAATACCGCTTCCATGTTGTGCCTGAGTCGTCTGCCGATTTCAAATTGTTTGAGTTTTTCAGCTCTTCAGGAGTAGTGTTTAAACTGGTCATGGAACTCTGATCTTGATCCAACGATAATTCCTCGTGTCCAGCAACCTGATCTGTATCACAGTTTGTTTCAGTCTTGGACTTATCTGACTGGTCAAAGTTATCCCCTGTGGAACCACTGTGGTTGTCCTGAGTGCAAGTAATCCGCGGGTTAGGAGTGCTTTCTGAAGTCGGTCGTGAGTCTCGTGTTTTCGATCGATGTGACGTATGTGTTCGATTGCTCGAATGTAATGTGGAGTAGTAATGTGACTGAGCGCCATGGTAGTCATGATAATGATGTGATGCACGACTAAATCCGCTCTTAGGGGCTCGAACCGCCATGTCTGTGGCTGTAAGCAAAGGAGGTAGGATAGAGCTAGCAACGCTAGAAGCACCACCATTCGCACTGCTTCCACCGCGGACTGCGCTAGGAATCGCAGAGGATGGTTGAGGTAGATCAGATTGTGAACTCGAACCATTGTGTAGTGGTGGAGGTGAGGGTGAATTCAGACCAACAGCCAGATGAACCTGATTTGTCTTCATATAGTACTTCTCCATCTTGTTGATTATATGTTTGCCGTAGGTATATTTCCTCAAACTGCTAAGATGTGGGCGGATCTGATTCATCAGTTCTTTCCGAATAGGTTGTTCGGCCACATCTAACATTGTTTGCACGACATAATTGGCAAACTGGTCTTTCATCATCATACAGAGTGTGGAGCCTCGTCCGGTTGCCGTATCATCAGTACTAGTACCACCCTCACTGCCGCTACTTAGCGTGGGGAATTCACTGGAACGAGGTCGCGTCCCATTAGAAATGGTCACCATTTCCGTCAAATCGCGGTTGTCTTCCAGCACTTCGTTAATGAGAGCTTGTCGCTCGGCCCGCGTGGCATGGGCCACTGCTTTCTCGACAACATTACTCGCGAATTTGTGCACACTCAACTCCGCCACACGTCCCCGAATAAGCTCAACAATACGACTTTTATCTTCAGTCCTTCCGTATTCCAGAACATGCTGAAAAAGTGGTAATATAGGAGTAACGATGATGGCTAAAATATGATGAATAGAAGCAATACAACTCATACAAAGCAAGATGTGAATAGCTATGCAATGGAGAGCACGAAACGAACAGGTTGAAATACCGAAACAAATATTACGACGACATTCGGAAAGAAGTTTCATTTACAAATTGATAAAGAAACTTTTCTCGATGGGGAATAAATACTATCGGGATTTAGGTACTACTAATACCCCTTGAAGTAAAAATTTACAAAAAATCATTTAGGAATATCAGTTTTAAGGCACTAAGAAAAAGCTAATTATGCAAAAGATACGAGATGGATAGAAACAACGGAACGAAAAATTAAACTGGTGTGATTATTTCCTGGTCTTACTTGGATTACGTAATTCCCATATTGATCCTTAATCAAGGACTCCGTGTGCTGATGCAGTTCTGCTAGAATGGGTGCCGTCTGCTCGGTAGTACAGTATTCCAAAATGCGTTGAATAACACGACAACCGTACGAGTGTGTGGAAATGGAGTGAACCTGTGACAAAACCATGAGAAAACAAAGCACGGTGAATAATTCAAGACACATCAGCTGAAAGTCGTCTGCTATCATTTCTCAAATCATGTTTTTGTGCTACGGAAATTAGAAAAATGATTGAGAAAACTTACATCAATAGCATTCGGGTCAGAGCAGTACAACACAAGAAGTTGTAAACAATTGTTTGTCAGCCAATAGGTGTACACTATGAACTATTTCACCCTGTGACAACCCAACTCAAGTGATTGATGAAAATCAGTTCAGTTCAGTTTGTACAACCATTAACCACGCATATTCGTGCGCCGGTTTTGGTTACGGCCTTTTGGCTGCCCATCTGGATGAAGAATAGGAGAATAAAGGGAAGTTGAAAGTGAAGTCGAACAGAAAATGGAGAAGTTCAGTGGTCTAAGGTTGCAAAGAAATTGAGAAGTTACACGAACGCCACTGGTTGCGACACCCAGCCATATCACTCAGTGTCTCTAACCATCGGTTACGATCATCCCGAGCCTAACAGGACCTATGTGACCCAGTATCCTGGTTAGAGTTTTCATACCCTTGTGCCAGGTCTTGTTTTTTCCCACTCCGCCTCTGCTTCGGCGAACATCGCTCGCTGTGGTAACCTATCTGCTGACATGCCTAACCCATGTCCCAACCAGCGTAATCTATGGAGGTGGACCACTTACTCCACTGAGCGACCGCGGGTACCCAAAACTCTGCGCCTAACCCCAGCATTGCTCATCCGGCTACCCAACCAGATTCGTGCAATGCTGCAAAGGCGAATCTTGTGGGGTAGGCGGATAAGCAATGCTGAGGTTCGATGCAGAGTTCTCATCAGCGTTTAAAGATTGAGGCTCAGCGTTAATCTTGGGGTTGACAAAACTCCTGGGCTCAATATGGGAAAGAGAGGAGGTTCCAACTGAATGGTGTGAATCGGTGATCATACAAGAAACGTGATAGATCCTCTTGTGAAAACCACAGAGGAATCAACATTGTATCTAAACTTCTTGCTGGCATCATACTCCACCGATTGTCTGCCGCACGTAAACAGTGCACGCGTGAGAACCAGGCTGGTTTTAGGCCCGGTCGATTTTGTATCGACGACATCTTCACTTTTCGCGAAACTCTGGAACATCGAGATTCCTTTTGTAGACCCACCATCTCTGTCTTCCTAGATCTGAAAGCGGCTTTCGACTCAGTC